ATTTTGGTTACTTTTGGACTATACAGTTGACATTGTATTTAGGTTACTTTAGGACCATATGGTTGACATTGTATTTAGGTTACTTTAGGACCATACGGTTGACATTATATTTCAGTTACTTTAGGACCATACAGTTGACATTGTATTTAGGTTACTTTAGGACCATATGGTTGACATTGTATTTAGGTTACTTTAGGACCATACGGTTGATTAATCCTAAATACTATATTACTATATTGAAAGTGTTTCTAAATCATTTTGTGTAAAAATTACTGGTTATAAAGTTGATGTGTATTATACCATCATTGTAGTAATGAAACTATGGCAGTTAGCAAGAGCAAGTTAAACAGCGTTGTTAATATTATATTATCTGAATAGACTGTGTGGTTTTATCCTTACTCATTCCTTAATGGTTTCTAAACTTTGTAAGATAATGTTATAATTATCAAAAGTTTTACAGAATTGATGTTATTATAATTTTTATGTTGTTTGACTCTAAATTTAGACTACTTGAAGAATACCAAAAATACTAGATTTTTTACTTTGGCTAGGAACACATTTTCCTAATAAATAAAATGAGTTGCGATTATAAGTTTTCCTTGGTTGGTTGTAGAGCATTTGGGTAAATGCATAGTTATAGATACAACACTTAAGGCCCAACATTGTCATAAACATGCTTATAAATAGTAAAACAATACTGATTGTCTGGAAAAAATTTGGAAAAGTGTACATAGTATTGTTGCAACAGGTGATTGATAAGTAAATAAATGTTTCACTGTTTTAAATGTTCACCAATGTATGAACTTACTGTACAACATATATCCAGTATCCTTCACATCACTATTCGTGTGTGGTGTTAGAGTGTTAATCATTAGGTAGTGTAGGTGGCACATTACTGTGTGTATGTTATCTTAGTTAATCTGAACTAATATAACAGCTGGATTATAACTATTTTTATTACTTTTGGTAACGCAGAGTTTTAGAAAGCATATGTTTTAAAAAATGTTTTTTTAAGGCTATCATGATCTCTGTCTTTAAGGCTAGCATGATCTCTGTCTTTGAGACACATATGCATTTGTTCCGTGGATTGTTAAATTGTATTGAGAAATTAGTATTTCTACTTATTAATATTTTCTGTTCTTCCATTTCTCTAAGACTCTTGATAATAAATGATTAATCAGTTATCAAATTCTACTAATTGTCCAGCTCTCGGGGTAATCAAGTTGTACACAAGTTTAAAAAACTTATACTGAGTGAAAAGATGTACAACTTTTGTCTGAAACTTTATTATTTCATCACAGGCTAGCCAGAACTTTCAATAGGATACCAAATTAGAGAGTCGGTGGGAAGTCTGTGTACACGGTTTTTATTGTTGTCACAACCCCAACTGCAAATCACTTTCCTCTTTGCTTAGCATAATATGTGAATTATTCCGTCTCGTGTATGTTGTCTTCAAGACATCTAACAGCACAGTGAAAGTGCCATAACGTTTAAGCTTGGTATGCCAAAGCTGATGTTAATTTCTTGAGATTTCCCACCAAACAGAACATACAGTATTTTCAAACTTTGACATGCACATATCTCAGATACGTGCACTTTGTAGTAGGGATGTAAAAGTGTGCATGTAGTAAAATGTGTAGATAATATTTGTAGAACATTTCATACTCCACCAAAGTGTTTTAATCTTTTTTTAAGTGAATGTCATTTAATATATAATAATGTGATGTCATTTTTTTTATAATTTTGTCAAAATGTACACAGAATAAATGCAAAATAGGAGATGGGAGATTCAATCATCAACTAAAAATGCTGAACATAAATTTCAATGTGAGAACTCCACAAACACCTAGACCACAGTGAGGCCCTAGGCAGGCTTATGAAGGCCCTAGGCAGGCTTCATAACCCTAGCTTCTTTTAAACTGTATTTTAATTTCAAACAAGATTAGAATCTCTGTTAGTGCAGAGAATTGTGACAGTTTTATAGCAGATAGTTATGAATTTCTCTTTGTGTAATACATTATACATGTTTCTTAGGTAGAACTTGAGTTAAAGGTGAACACACGCAGCCCTAACTATGATTTCAGTAAAGGAGAGCAGATAGCCTTGAACGTGGATGGAAAAATACCAGGAGATAATGCTTTTTTTCAAAGGTAGCGTGCACATTTTCTGTCTTTATCAAAATTAATTGTATCTAGTTTCTTTCATGTTGAGTAACACTTGTATCAAGAATTGACTGTGTAACGTAGTAGGTAATTTTACAATCAAGAATTGGCTGTCTAATGTAGTAGGTAATCTTTCAATTCCAAGAATTAACTGTCTAATGTAGTAGGTAATCTTTTAATCAAGAATTGGCTGTGTAATATAGTAGGTAATCTTTCAATCCAGAATTGATTGTGTAATGTAGTAGGTAATCTGTCAGTCAAGAATTGGCTGTCTAATGTAGTAGGTAATCTTTTAATCAAGAATTGGCTGTCTAATGTAGTAGATAATCATTCAATCCAGAATTGACTGTCTAATGTAGTAGGTAATCTTTTAATCAAAATGGTGTTAAGTTTTACAGCCATTCCTTTGTTAAGTACTTACCAACTGAATGGTGTTAAGTTTACAGCCATTCCTTTGTTAAGTACTTACTAACTGAATGGTGCTAAGTTTTACAGCCATTCCTTTGTTAAGTACTTACTAACTGAATGGTGCTAAGTTTTACAGCCATTCCTTTGTTAAGTACTTACTAACTGAATGGGCTCATTATGACAGTTACCAACTCACCACACTGTTAAATTTCTCTGGGAGCTATTATAATTGGAGAATTTTATAAAAATAACTATGGCAAGACTGGAATTCATGAATGCAAAGCAGTTTTCAACAGTAATTTTCATGAAGTAGCACTTCTGGTGTTCAGAAAGAAACTTATCTCCCTTACATACAATGGAAGGAATCAAGGAAACAGTTATAAGGTGTTTGAATTGGAGAATATTTTAGCATACCCAAAATTAAACTGGCTTATTATAAAACTTTCTGGGCAACTCTATGATCCTAAGTGCATTGAGGTTACATTTCATAAACAGAAATCGACTGTACAAAATTTTAAGAAGCTTACCAAATAAACTTTTCTAAGTGAGCCTCGTAATTGCAATGGCTATGACCTATTTATTTTACATTCAAATTATTTTACACACATTAAAACAAGACAACATAAAAGACTACGATGTTGGCTTTCATTGTAAATTCTGTCTTAAATAATGATAACATAGTCCCTAAGGTGAAATTTTCTGAGGATTGATAAGTAATTTTACAAAGGTATAAGTAAAAGGTTCCAAAAGAATACGTATAATCACTCAATATACAGAAGAATAAGCCTAAAATTTGGGAAATATTCATGTAAACTGCAGATGTTTTTCCACAGTCCTCTCAATTTGTCTATCTTGGACTCAAAATAAAAAATGTGCAAAAAGAGCATTTTAAATCTATCTTTTGTCTCGAACAAGCTACTGCCCAAGAGTCCTTTCAATCAATACCAGAACTCATCAGTTGGGCTGGACGATGAAAGAGAAAGGATTCTCTCAAACACTATTTATATATGCAGTATAATACTACAAAAGTCAGTTTTATTTCCAAAACCTGGTGAAGTATCAGAAATCAACAGGCCTAAAATGTGCACTAAAAATCACGTAGACTACAGGATTTTTTTTCACATTTCTTCCAATATGTACGTTTCGACTTTAAAACCATTGGTGTGTAAAAAATAGTATTTCTCATCTATTTTTATCTCACACAAATCAGAATAAAGAAGAATGTAATGAGCTGAACAAACATGGTGAAATGGGCTGCATTGCCTAGTACAGTCTAATACTTCAAAGCATAGATGGAAAAGGACAAAGTTTCAAAAGACCTAAACAAAAAAGACAAATCAAATTCAAAATTTGTGGCAGGAATTTAGGTTTAACATCTTTCAAGCCTCAACAGGATCTTTGGGGTTTGAAAGACAACCTGAGATGTTCAGAAACTTTTGTTTCTCTTAACTTCCCCTGCAAGAGAAATTGTAAAGGCTATACAAATTTGAATGGGCTTGATAAGTTAAGTACATTGTTCGAGGTGGGTGAAGATATGCCAGGTGCTATCTCAAGCCGACAGGGAGAGCCAGGAAGAAGCCAAAAGTCTTTCGAATTGTCTTACTTTTGCATCTGAGCTACTTTTATAGTTTAGTCTTCTGAGACTTCCTCCACAAGTATCACACTGTACTGGGCAGCCCACTTCAACTTTGTTCATCATGAATACTCTGCCTAAATTATCTATATAAGAATGTATTAAGCTTCGTAAATTTATTTTTGTATCCTTAGCTTTCTAATTTGAAAGAAGGAATTTTTAGGGTGTATTTGTAGACATACCGATTACAAGTCAAAACATGTAACTACCTTTCTATACAAACTACCAGTTAGGCTTCACTGTGTACAGTTTTGGTCTCCTTATCTAAGAAAGGATATTGAATTATTGGAAAGGATTCAGAGAAGAACTAATAAGATGAATCCAAGGATAGGATAAGAACTCTAACGTAATATTCTCTTGAGAAAAAAAAAGTACGAATTGAACATATTGAAGTTTACAAGAATAAGTACAATAAATGTCTCTGATTTCTTTGTGCTGTGTTATGAAGATAATAGGACAAGAACTTAAGATTTGGAAAACATAAGCAAGGCTCCAGTTAAGGCAATTTTATTATTCTAAGAATGATTGACTTACAGAATGAGATACTATTGGTCAATAATTTGAACTAACAGCCTTATGGGAAAATAATGACATGGGGTCTCTTATCCACAGTTTTTAACTTCTGTGAGGATCCAAGAAGTTGGAAAGAGAAGTTTATGGCCCACAGAATTGATCAAAGCAGTAAGATAGGTAATTGTGCCCATACTAAAATGTGGTTGAAGAAAGAAACCTTGAAGGATCAAATGATACCTTGTTGTCTTTAGGTTATGTAATTTTTCAAGTTGATAAATTAGAAATGTTGCCAAAAAACACAAGCATTTGAACAGGTAGCTTACATTCTTTCACTGACTATAAGCTTAAAGTAAGAATTATTTGCTAAAACTTTGGGGGAAAAAAATGAAAAATAGGAATTCAACACTTTCTTACCTTGTCGAAGCAAGCCTACAGCATATGGTGATGTTGAGGTTACAACTTTACTGGAGCTCAGAGTCTGCTTGTCCATGAGAGAGCTGTTGTATAAAAATTACTTACTATCATTATGCAGTCAATTACTGATCAAATGAATGCCTACTATTTTTACACAATCACGTCCGTGGAAAAACTGTTACATAAACATTATCTAATATATACCATAACACAATCAAATCTTGATTGAATGATTATCTACTACATTAGACAGTTAATTCTTGATTGAAAGATTACCTACTACATTAGACAGCCAATTCTTGATTTAAAGATTACCTACTACATTAGACAGTTAATTCTTGATTGAATGATTATCTACTACAATAGACAGCCAATTCAATGGTGCTAAGTTTTACAGCCATTCCTTTGTTAAGTACTTACTAACTGAATGGTGCTAAGTTTTACAGCCATTCCTTTGTTAAGTACTTACTAACTGCAGTTAGTAAGTACTTAACAAAGGAATGGCTGTAAAACTTAGCACCATTCAGTTAGTAAGTACTTAACAAAGGAATGGCTGTAAAACTTAACACCATTCAGTTAGTAAGTACTTAACAAAGGAATGGCTGTAAAACTTAACACCATTCAGTTAGTAAGTACTTGACAAAGGGATGGCTGTAAAACTTAACACCATTCAGTTAGTAAGTACTTAACAAAGGAATGGCTGTAAAACTTAGCACCATTCAGTTAGTAAGTACTTGACTCAAGTGGTTCTCAAATATGTGACGACGAAGATGCAATGAAACAAGAGGATGTTAGCTTTCCATCTGGTGATGATAGTAAAGACGATGAACCTGGACCTAGCAGAGGAAAGAGCAAACAGCATCGACAATGTGAAACATTTGTCACATTCACAGTGTGAGGGGGTTGGAGCATTGGGAAAGATATGTCCCTGCTGCAGTGAATGAGTTAAAACTGCCTACATTATGGGGTCCTACTGGTGTATTATTCTTATACAATTACTTTTTTTGACTTTGTAAAGAAGTAATATTTGAAAAAGTCTACAATTTTACAAATTTGTGAGTACAAGTACAAAATGTAAAAGACTGTTTCCACTGTGTAGGTAACCAGGCAAATTTCTTCTCTAAACTCTCAGAAGAATTAATATTTTATTCATCAATTTTTTTCTGAAGTTGATACTTTTAAAAATTAGCGTAGATGCATTATTACATCAGCATTCCTTAAAAATTAATACATACATTTATATAATGTTTAAGTTAAAACAGTTTTTCTCTGTTTAACTTACTTTTTCATAATAAAGAAGCAAAAACTTAAAAATTAATAAAATATACATAAAAAAGCAGTGTCAACATGAATAGTAAGCATACTTTGATTTTCTAACATAAAAACGTATGCATACCTCTATTTTCAAATATAAATGTTTATCACCTCCCTTGAAAAGAGGAGTTACATTAGCTAACTTCCAATCCTTTGGTACCTGCCCACTATTCAAGAACTGACAAAAAATAGTAGCAAGTGGCTCACATATCCAATCTTTAACCTCCTTCAAAACCATTGTGGAAATATTACCTGTCCCAGGAGCCCTATCATTTTTTATACTTCCCAATTTTTTCTTAACCAGCTCAGAATTAATGCAGTTATTTTGTTTGATCTCATTTCCATCTATCATCTGATCAAGTTGTGGAATACTGCTTAAATCTTCATTATTAAAAACCAATGAAAAAGTAAAATTTAATAACCCAGCCATCTCATAATCATCCCTTCAGTGTCCTACCCCCACCTTAACATTTTGTTTACTCTTAATGTATTTAAAGAAATCCTTACTGTTAATTTTATATTTTCAGCCAACTTTTTCTCAAATGGATTCAAACTCTTTGCTATTATCTTTGATATCCTCAACTTCAACAGGATGTAACTTATATTTTACATATAAAGCCACTTCTCCTCCCCTGTTTAATACTCTATCTATATTAAATAGCTTGTAACCTAATGTTTCTTATGAGTAAACATTTTGGATTTTGTGTGTAACATTACAATCATAGATTAATAACTTTGCTTAAAGTGCCCATTTTCTTTTTGTACTAAAACTCAGTGGAGAGGGCAAGCACTTTTTATTTGTGAATTGTAGAGAGAAATAAAAGACTCACAACATTAAAAACTACTCCAATCAATGTTTCCTGTTATATTTGTGAAGTTTCTGAATTTTGAAAACTGAAGCATTTAAAAATAAAATTGTGTGCAAATGGCACCTGCTAAGTTTTACAGTACTTACTAACTGAATGGTGTTAAGTTTTACAGCCATTCCTTTCTCACTTTCACTGTCTTCTAAGCTATCTGAGTCAAGCATATCAAGTATAATTCTAGCTCATTCTACTCCCATACGTCACACATGGCAATTTTGATTGACAGCAGTTCTTTTCCAATCTCATTAAGTTTCTATGACTTCCTTTTAAAAGTACTGAAAGGGCAAAAGATCTACTAAACTAGACAATATGAGTGTACATGGCAGGTACTAAAAATTCACCATATTTGTTTGTAGATTCAAGTGATCTTTGTTAGATTTAAAAAGTGTCTTATATACATTGTATATACATAGTGATGCACTGTTAGGACTAGAACTTCTTAACATATTAAAATACTGTATTTTGACTTTTTAGAAGAAAACTTTTTCATTTATTAAAGTGTCACATTCACACTATATGAAACTATATATACATGTCAAATTTCTACTATTTTAAACAGAACTTTTAATATATTAAAATGTCGCTATATGTCTATTCACATAACAATATAACTAGACACTCATTTAACAAAAGCAGCAGCTACAGCTCAGGTTTCAGAGAAAATAACGTACAATAAACAAGCAGACTTGTCCTTCTTACCTCCTGGATGACTGCTATCAACTTTGGCTCTAGCATCAGAACGGTCAAGATAGGGAAATGCTGGTCGTAGCTGGACTATAGCATGCAGGGGAGACAAGTGCAGTTCTCCTAAATGTATGTACATATATACATCTGTCATTACCAAATAAACAACCCCCCCCCCAAAAAAAAAGATAACTACATGAAAAAAATTAAGTTGAAAGTTTATTTATAAGAGCATTAATTCCACCACAGAAATTTACTTCAAATAGAAAAACTGTTAAATCGAGGGTTGGGGATCAACTGTTTAGAGAAATGACATATGAATTCCAAGTTATAAACATAAAACTTATACCATCTCTGAGAACCCCCCTTTTTTTTTGCCAGTCCATTTGCAAATACCATTTTCATACATTAACCTTTTCACTGTGGCTGGGACATATATTTCCCAGTGCTCCCACCCTCTCACACAGCGACTGGGATAAGTGCTTCCCAATTAGTAGCTAATGAGAGTTTGGTGATGCTAGGCACTTGTTTTGTGAAACTTGATGAGATTGGAAAGGAACC